AGTGATGTTGATACTTACGATATATTATATGGAGATCGTTGTCATTCCATTCCGTCTTCGAAAAAATCAGTTGATGTAGGCTGTGTGCTTGTACTCAAACTAAGCTTGACTTGAGGACATGTTAGTTTGTTATGCCCCTCACCGTTGCAGTACCCACATCGCCTAATTTGCTTCTCGACCTTGTTCTTCGGCACTTCTTTTCGCTTGCGTTGTTTTCGTTGAGGGTCACGAACATTGTTTACTACAATGCTCTGGTTGACTGAATGATTCAAACCAAACGAGTTTTCTAATTCTTCTATTAGTTTTTTCATCTCATCTCTTGCGGTTTTGAAAGACTCGTCTGTCTTTGATGCAATGTAGCATAACCTGCTTGACGTTGAACGTAGAGCAGCGAACCTTGCCATTTGCATCACTTCTGGAGACACATTCAAATCAACATAGCTGGGTGCAGAAGCCTTCGCATCATTAGTCCACCTACTTTGAATCAAAGTCCGGGCAAATATGTGTAGTCCAATTGCTTCAAAATGTGAAGTTGATGGCGACACGGAAGTCCAACGGTCTCGAATTTTTTGCAGGAGCAAATTAGAGTTTTCGTACGAGAATCAAAACTAATTTCAAATTTCCTATTTTTTTCTGCATACTTTGACAAAATATAATGTTGACATTCATCTGATAAGGACTTAATCTCTGCCTCAATCCGGTACAATGTCTCCCGTGTAAGTTCATCTTGGAACACACGAAAAGATTCGCGGGTAAAAATCGCAGCGGCATGGCTTTCAAGGTCGACCAGTTTTGTGATCTGGAAGGGCTTCGTATGGGAACTTAAGTAATCCGCTTTCAACTCGTTCATACGCATTCTACTAATTCCATCTTCAATTGCACGAACAACATCTAAATATGTCTTCTTGTGTTTCAGTGCAATAGCTAGTGAAGCATTCATAGACTCGCACCTTTGTGTTGAGCGAATATTGGCAAAGAAATGACCGGTTAGATATGCTTGTGCCCATAAGTGTCGTGTATTTCCCTTCTCAATCACCCATGGATGCTTTTGGACGTTGAATTCTGAAACAATCGAACGCCATTGAATATCAAATTCCTTGGTTGTCCACCAGGAAGCCATGCATTTTGAGAATGCTGCTGTAAACTTTGGGTCACCAATGTTAGCTTGTGCATTGCGAGAAAGATGCCAAGAACATAATCTGTGCTTAGCATAAGGGATAACAGATTTGATAGCCCTCTGCATTGCCCTATCCCCATCGGTTACAACAGAAATAGGTGATTTATTCATCATGGCTTCTAAAAAATTCTGTAGCACCCACTCGAAAGATTGAGACGTTTCGTCAGCGATTATGGCAGTGGCAAACACAATTGTGTTATGGTGATGATTGACACCAACAATAGGCATAATTGGTCGACCATACAAATTATCTTTGTACGTTGTGTCGAACGCAATTACATCACCGAAGCATGTGTAATCCGATCTCGATGTAGAATCCGACCAAATAAGATTATACAATGCCCCCGATTCGTCTACCGAGTATGTCATAAAAAACCCGGGATCATCATGTTTCTTATAATCAAAGTAGGCAATAAGCGCATTCACATCCCCATCGACGATTTCCTTTGCTTTACCTCTTTGAAGTGCATTGTAGAGGTCTTTATGTGTAAATCCAACATTATGATAGCCCCCTGCCTGCTGCGTTAAATAGTTCATTACTTGTGACGTGCCAACACCGACCTCTTTCAATGTTGTTGCCTCATCGATATCAGCCTTACTTACAGCTCGATTAGAACGCATAAATGGTGTCATAGCAGATGTGCACAATGCATGATTATGTTTCTGATCAGACTTACTTATAACCCACTGATCGTTTGTATTTGTTGCTGTAACTACGACTCTAGCCTTACATCCTGTTCTTGTGACTGGCGTATGAGCACGTTGACGATCAACAGTATTGACTTTTGATACTCGAAACCCTTCTTTGGAACAACAAAATTCTTGTGTCTTCACATTCCCTTCCACGTCAAGCCGTGTTGTTCCCTTACGTGCACTAAACCCATGTTCCCGTGCGAATCCCTTGTAAAAGTGCCAAGCTTGATCACGTGAACAGAAGAGCTGACCAACCAATCTGTCAGATTCATCAACATTATGTACTTCATGGCATTCCTCGGTTGGCTTAACATTGTCTACATCAGTATTATCCATGGCAAAAATTTTGTTGTGCAAGTTCAGTGCTCCAGGAGTTGATGGATATGTAAACGAAGGTTCATTTTGAACATGTTTCTGTAGTTAAAGGGTGGGTACAACATTAAATTCGCAGTACATATTTAGGTATGTACAATAACTACAAGTATATTATCATTTTAAATTCGCAGTACACTGTTAAAAAAATTGAAACATAAATTACATAAGTTTTAAAAAAAGTATCGATCCTTTTTATAAAAAGTATGGACACTTTCAATATAATAGGTAAACATATGATGTAATAGGTAGCCCTTATATAATGTAATAGGTAATGGTTATATTGTAAAGTGTCTATCCTTTTTATAAAAGTGTCCATACTTTTTTCACTGTGGAAAACATTAATTTAAGGTTATCTTTTGAGTGAGTTTTAAGATATTAATTTAGTAATTATAGGCGTCTAATGATTTATTTTTTACGTTACGGTATATATTATTATTAAATTTAAAATTCTAAATAATATTTTATAAAATATAAAAACAATCAAATAATTTTTTGTGCAAATGAAATTATTAAATCAATATTGTAGGTGGAAAACATGAAACATACTTAAAAAATATTGAAACATAAATTACATATCTTTAAAAAAAGTATCGATCCTTTTTATAAAAAGTATGGACACTTTCAATATAATAGGTAAACATATGATGTAATAGGTAGCCCTTATATAATGTAATAGGTAATGGTTATATTGTAAAGTGTCTATCCTTTTTATAAAAGTGTCCATACTTTTTTCACTGTGGAAAACATTAATTTAAGGTTATCTTTTGAGTGAGTTTTAAGATATTAATTTAGTAATTATAGGCGTCTAATGATTTATTTTTTACGTTACGGTATATATTATTATTAAATTTAAAATTCTAAATAATATTTTATAAAATATCAAAACAATCAAATAATTTTTTGTGCAAATGAAATTATTAAATCAATATTGTAGGTGGAAAACATGAAACACTGTTAAAGTATCGATCCTTTTTATAAAAAGTATGGACACTTTCAATATAATATAATGTAATAGGTAAATTTGCAATGCTATCGGTATAAATATACTGGTTTACTTATAAAATAGGTAAATATAAGCGCTACCTATTACATTATATAAGCGCTACCTAGTATGTTATTGTACTTTATAATATTTCCGGTTAAATAATATAACATAACCGGTCTAAATTTTAACCGGTCACTTGTTTAACCGGTCACGCCGTATATTAGCCGTTTTTTAGGCGCCGCACCGCAGAACGATGGCGCCTCTCCACGATGGCGCCAGCTCGAACAGAACCCCAGGAAGGCGTGCTTCCTGATCCGCGTCTTCCATCCACCTGTCAGAAAGGATGCTAGATCATAAATATTTGGAGAAATGGTGCCTAACATGTAATTATTTATTTTTTAGGATAATTTTTGGGTAAAAACGCCTTGTGTGTATAATTTTAAAATAAAAGTAAGTTTCTCTTTAGAATTTCTTATATAATTTTAGTAATAAAAAAATTATATTTTAAGAAATTTTAAGTTAGAACAATTATATTTTTAATATATATAAGAATAAATACATTAATCTTTTAGGAAAATAAGTACATCTTCATTATTTTAAAAAAAATATAAAATTTAATTTATTAGGCGAGTAGGAGAAAAGTTCATTTACATACCTTTTTTTTTTTAAAGAAACTATATTAAATTTGTGGATGTCATTTTGAACTTTTGAATCTGCAGCAGTTAAAAACTATCAATACTCTTTATCTTTTTATTTGAACATGGATATAATATGTGTGACGGAAACTTATGGGGTTAAGGGAAGCTTTCGCCCAGTGTCTGACTAATTATTTTTTAAGTATTAATTAATATTAATATATATATATTTTTAAAAAAAAAATTCAAGCCTCTTAACTAAAAAAATTGTATTTATAAAAAAAATATTTTAACCTCGTTAATAAATTCCTAGTTCTAACCTGTCTGAATGTATAAAAGATTAACATAAAAAGGGTATTTGTAGTTTTTTACATCTGAACATATTGTTTTAAGTATTATATAATTATTTTGTTTTTTTAGCATGGCCGAAAGTGGAATAATTTAAAATATAAGTGAAATGGAAGAGTAATTTTTATACTAGAAAGTGACTCGCGATTATTAAATAATTATATAACATGTCAAACACAATAGAAAAAAAGGGTAAAAATGTTGTAATTTTGAAAAAAATCAATGTGACCCTTCAAATCAAAAAATAAACTCAATATTCTTCAACTCTAAAAATAAACTTAATGTGACCATTTGACTAATATTTTTTTTATCGTTGATTGTTACAATGTTGATTGATAATTCACGTTACTAAAGGGCAAAAATGTTGTAATTTTGAAAAAAAATCAATGTGACCCTCCAAATCAAAAAATAAACTCAATATTCTCCAACCCAAAAAATAAACTTAATGTGATCCTGTGACCAACATTTTTTTTGTCGTTGATTGTTACAATGTTAATTGACAGTTCACGTTACGGACATAACAATATAGGTTGGCATATTAACGTAATGGATGACATTACATATTGATTAAATTGGTAACTTAAACATGGAAGATACACTGTCACATCAACACTGTGAGCCTTCACGTCAATACCGAGAATTAACACACCAATACTGTAACATTCAACGATAAAAAACATTGATCAAAGGATTACATTAAATGTTATATGAGTTAGAGGATCGTATTAAGAGAAAAAATAATACGATGGTCAAATTAATTTTCTTTCAGAAGTACAAGGATTTCTAATATCTATTTTTCCAAGAAAAAAAAACAACAAATGAAGGCAAATACATAAACCCAATCCTAAAGCTAAAGTCAAAGATAGATCAAGTAAAATCATTCTTTCGTTCCTCACTACATTCTATGGTTCACTTTGGTTCACCATAGTTTCCATGAAAAATTTAAAACCTTAAGGCAACCAACAAAGAAGTAAAAAATTATGAGGCTCTTCATCTATTTCATTTATAATATCTGCCTAGCAAAACCAGACATGCCACGGCGGTGAAAAGCAGTTGTCCGGGTGGTTTTAATCGGATGGCAGTGGCCATCGGCGGAGACGGGTAGTAAGGCACGGCACCGAAGACATTTGAACCGTTTGAATTGGTGGTGTTTAAGATGGAAGAGGTTGTGCTGCAATGCCAATTAAGATGTTGATTTCATATAAAATAACACTTTTGTTTAAATGTAAATGTAAATGAAAAGTTACCTTGTGGATTGATACTGACATGTCCCACTACCTGAAATATATCATGATATAAATATGAAATTGATTTAACTAAAATAAATATTTTTTAATTTTTAATAAGATGACGCCACACCACGACCAATAAAAATATGGGTAAACTACATACCTAAACTAATAATTTTGATTCATTTTAGTATTTAAACTTTAATTTTTAAAAAAATACTTGATGTTTAGTTTTCATTTCATTTTAGTACTCTATCGTTAAAAATTTGATGCATTTAGTACCTAAATTATCAATTTTAATCCATTTTAGTATCTAAATTTCTAATCTTTTCAAAATTTAACGTTAAATTTTGAACGATATACTAAAATAAAACAAAAACTAAATTTTATGTATGCTTTTGAATTTTTTTAAAAAGTTTAAATACTAAAACATACTAAAATTAATTGTTTATATACAAAATTCGTAATTTACCCTAAAAATATTAAACTTAAAAATGAAAGAGTTTGATTCATTTGTAGGTAAATTACAAATTTCATCACTGAACTTTACTTTCTCTCCCATTTTACTCACTTAACTTTAAACGTTCTCAATTTCTTCACTAACCTTAATAAATTAGATTTTTTTAATTATTAAATTTTACTCTCTCTTATATTTTGATCATTCCACCGTTAAATAGTTAAAGACATTAAAATTATGTTATTTTAAAAAAAGCAAATTTTTTACGAAAACAATGCATTTTTGCATCTATATAACAATTGATTTTAACACTGTTAATTATTTAACTACTGAATAATAAAAAAGAACTAATATATTAAGTTCCGTGAAAAAATAAAAAGATATAAAATATCGTGAGTGAAATAAAAAAGAGTAAAGTTCAATACTAAATTTATAATCTACCCTTCATATATTTAGTTGGAGTTGCTGGACCGGGTTATGGCCCAACTTTAATTTTTTTTAATCTTAAATACATTGGGAAGGGCTTGAGTAAATCCAAATGGCTTATATTTTTTTAAATGAAAATAATATTTGATTTTATATTTGTATTTAAATAATTAAAATGTAAAACAATTCATGCTTACTTGGAGTATTAAACTTACTTGGATCAATGCTGGTGGTAACGGCAGCGCCTCCAAAATTACAGCTACTAGGAACCGGGTTCTTCCTGAAGTAGCTATTGAACGCGTAAGAAGCATGCGCATGGATCGTGTTCGGATTGTAACACCCTCCACCCGGCTGGACCGCCGCACAGTCGGCACCGCCAGACCCGCACGCATAGTCTAGACCTGCTTGCAATGCACTTTGTGATGCACTTTGGCTGGCCACGCACCAGCTGCCGCCGCCACCCCGTGTCGTCGTCGTCGTCGGAACCACCGTCATTGGTGGTGCCGTTGTGATGGGAGATGTTGCCGAATCCGGGTTTGAAGTAGGGTTCCACACCGGAGTCGACGATGTGGCCGGAATCATTATTGGTATGGTTGCTATAGGAGTTGTTATGTCCTTTTCGTTGCTGTAAATATTAATCTTCCTTGTATCACTTGGACCTGTATCATATTAACTAAATAGTTACATTATAATCTTCATGTCATACATTCACATTAACCAATTTTCTTAAATTTAATTAAAATTTTGTTTCGATTTAATTATAAATATTTATAGGTAATGATGTGATATTAATTAATTCTAATTTAAATAATTTTTTAATAACCATAACAAATATGCATATATATAATTATTTTATCATGTAGAACCGAAATTCTATTTAAATTTTAAAAATCAACTCCTTCATTATTATTAAAAGTCTTGAGTTGTTTTCTTTTATAAATCAAATTTTATTTGAAATTTTTAGAATATAATAATTCAACATCAAATCAAATTTAAATTTTTTACTTTATTTCCCTATTAAAAAAATTAATTATTTGGCTCCTAATCCAAGGACAGCTAAAGCCCATATAAGATGAGAAAAATAGGAGAAACATAACACAGATGTTGAGATGTATAATGGGTAAACGATGTGTTTAGTATATAAATTATCATACGTTTTAGTATTTAAATTTTTATTTTTTTTAAAATTATAACTAAAGTTTGATCTTTATTTTAATACGTACAGTAAAAAAAAACTTATAGTATCTAATACCTAAACGGAAAGCCATGAAAATTCAAAACACTGAAATCTGATCCCACGATAATTCAAAGTAAAGGGAAAACCCCAAATCACCTGGAAAGAGCAAGAGGCAAAAGAGGAGGAAGATTTTGGAGAAGATTGCACTTGAATCCATTGCTCTAACATCCGCCTTCTCCTTCTTCTTCTTCTTCTTCAATTTGTTGGGAAAAAGGAAATGAAGAGAAACATCAAAGAAGCAGACTTTGGCATGAACATCACTCACAGTGCTGCTTCTGTGGGGAAGAAGCAAAGGAGGGAAAAAGGTTGAAAAGGGAAAAGGAGCGAGAGAGAGAGAGAGAGACTTGCTTTGGAATTTAGGTTTGGTAAGTGGTGATGGTAATGATGGGCTTTGATCTTCTATTTCCCTCTACTTTTTAATATTTTATACATAGTTTTTTTTTCAATTAATCACTTATATCGAATTTTTGATCGATTAATTCGAATCAAATATTATAAATATAAAATCAATATTCTTAATTTAATTTGTTTCATTCACAAATATAAAGGTTCATACCTTTGATCTTACTTAATAAATTTAGTATTTTATTTTATTATACCAATTCATTGTCAATTAATAACAATAATTCTTTAATTATTAAATTCGATGGATATTATTTTATACAGAGTTATATTAATGGAACTGGTGTGTTTTGATTTTACAAATTTGTTAACAATTTTAAAACAAAACGAATAACACTTCATTAAAGATTTCAACCATAAATATAAAATTTTCAATGAATGATATTATATTATATAATTTAATATATTAGTTTTTATGCACATAATATAATTTACAATTATTTAACTAATATTAGAATTATACGAATCAAACGACCTAGGTGATTAAAAGAATGAATGTTATCCTTAAAGGTCTCAGATTTGAGCACTAACGACTGCTAAGTATTTGAACATTCCTTATCAAATGGTTAATTGTTTTTAGAACAAATACTACCACTAGAGATGGTAATGGTCGAGTTAGGGTCAAGTTGCTAGTCAATCTGACTCGATCCGAAAATATGTATCCTCCATCAGAATTCGACCTGAAAATTTTATTCCTTCACCCGATCCGGCTTGACCAGAAAAATATATATCTTCACCCGAATCTGACCCGACCCAATATTTAGAGTATAAATTCGACCCGATATAAAATAATGATTTAATTAAAAAAATAATAATATTTTTAAAGAAATTACATTATTATCCTCAGGTCGAGTTGGTTCGAAATTTTTTCATCCTCCAGTGGAAGACAATCCTCTCTAACCTCGCCTCTTAAAAAATTCAACCTAACCCTACCTGAACCCGATTATTGTTTTTTAAAAAATCCGATCTTATTGGGTCACGTTAGAACCCGTCAGATTCAAGTTAATTGTCATCCCTAACTACTACTTATAATCATCTTAGATTAATAAAAAATAATAATATTAGAATTCATCAAGTACTCTCGATGACAAAAGAAAATGATGTTTTTCTTAAAGGTCATGAGTTCGATCGATTGTATTTACATAAAGTTAATACTTCTCTTTATTCAATTAATTAAAATTTTATAAATAACTACTACTTTATAAATTTACCGCATAATATTAAAAAAATGCCAATACTTCTCTTTATTCATTTCTTTACGCAGTTTCGGTAAAATTAGGTTAAAAAAATGAGGATTGTCAACATATTTGGGTCCTTCTTTCTTAATTTTGTCATGCTATTTTTATTATTTATTTTTGGGCCCAAAAATTTTGGTTGTAGTAAAATTGATATTAAACAATAAATTATTTACCCACTGTAAAGTTAACAAGATTATAAAATAATATATATTCTAAATATTTAATAATTTGACAATGAATACTCAATCAATCTACTGTAACTACGGGTGTTTGAAACTGTAACTTTTTAAAAAATAATTAACTACTTAAAAAAAATATTTTTGCTAAACAGTATCAGATTATAATACATTTCAAAGTTCTGGATTACCTAATCTGAACCCAAAATACTATTGTTTTTGTCGTTTAGGTAAAGTCTTTGACAGTACTTGTGTCAGTGTGACTACCAGCTGCACCCTCTCTCTTTTCTCCATTTACTTTCTTCTTTTCATTCTTTTCGGTGACGGCAAGTTTCACGTAAACACTCAAATTGTACTACTAATTCAAACTTGGGTAAAATACACTTCTCATCACCGAACTTGACTCTCACTCCAATTTTACTTATTATACTTTCAAAATTTTCAATTTATTCATTGAACGTTTGAATTATTCTTGTTTTGATCATTAAAAATTATTGTTATTCCATGAGATGACATTTTTAAATATTATTACATATAAAAGTAATTTAAAATAAATAATAAAATAATATTTTTTATTATTAAATTTAAAATGATTTAAAATAATCATCATCCATTCTCATCACTATCGACAACCATCTAGGTTTAATTTTATATTTTAATTTATTTTTATATTAAATAATAATAAAAATGTCATGTAATATAAAAGTAATAATAAATAATTCAGAGCGATCAAAACATGAGTATTTCAAAAGTTTAGTGAGTAAACTGAAAAAATTGAAAGTATAGTGAGTAAAATAGGAGAGAGAGTAAAATTTAGTAATGAATAGTATAATTTACCCTTGAAACTTACCCGCTTAAGAACCACTTCCATACAAATTAATTTGGGTAAAGTATACAAATAATCCCTTAATTATAAGATACTATTTTATTAAAAATGACTGTTCCTTTTTCCCATATGTATGGGGTAAGAGGGAGGTAAGATAGCATGCTACCCCCAACACCAGATTGAGAGCAGCTTCCGTAATAGAACTCTGAATTATGAAATGCCTTCCGTGGGACTCGATCCCACTATTTTATTAAATCGTTGATTATTAAAAGTTATAAATAATCACGAGAAAGTTACAAGAACTAATTTATTTCAGTGATTAAAGAAATCATTATTATTCCTAAATGTTACAGATTCAAACTCCAACATAAGGTGATTGAGCGGAGTCGAATCTATTTGTGATTGGGAGATATTCTCTTCAGAAATGGGAGATACCCGAATAGCTGTCTGTATGAGATACATTATGGAGTCTTATATATCGTTACTAAGAGCTGGGGACTTTCCTCTTTCTCATATGCATTATCGAAAGGATAAGATGGTTGCCTTTAACGAGAATTCTGGTTATTTGGAATCTTGCTTATTTGACTAACAACACCTGCTCAAGACATTTCATTATAATTTGAATTGCTACAATAGGGTTTTAAGGAAATTAGGTTAGAAACAAACCATAATAAATATGAAAAATTAATTATGATCTAATCATGATAAATCTTCAAGAATAAAATAAATTCTAGATGTGAAAGCGTATCTGAATTAATCGATAGGTTGAAATCCTTGAGAATATCTTCAGTTGTGATCTTCTAAGAAGATAGAACTCTTTTGAGTATAAACTCTTTGATGGTATAAGAGAAAATACGATGTTATTTATTTCTTAAGGATCATAACCCTTTTATATAACTGATTTAAGAATCAATTATTGTTTGTATTTATAACTATGTTATTCATCAAATTATAAATACAACTTTAATAATATTCATATTTTTATTTGCATGACACTTCTAATACCTTATGACTTTATAACATAATTGGTCACTTAATTTATGTAATATTTTACTTAATTTATGTCATATTTAACTTAATTTATATCATATTTCATTATAACAATATTCATTATAAATATGTGCCCATAATTATATATTTTAATCCAACAAATTTTTCTATACTTCACTCTGTTATGCATATTTATGTCTGGTTCTACCTTTCATGTCTTTTCATTTCATTTGGCAGATGAGCTTTCTTTGCAGATGGGTGATTTGTCTTTCACTGAGGAAGAGTGTGCGAGTGTGGTTACTTCTCCCTTCTGATCATATTGAGGACTTGGGTTGTGAGAACTGATTAGTGGGTAAACTCATGACCGATGTTAAAGTTGATGGAGAATCCCTTGGCCATGTTTTTAGAGCAGTTTGGAAAGGTGATAAGGTCGAAGAGATAGTGAAATTCAAGCCTAATATTTTTCCAAATAAAGCTTCGTGAGATTGACGTTATTCGTGACAGTACATGGAAAACACCTTTAATGAGTTGATTGTTGAAACTCAAGTGATCCTCAATACTCCTTTTGACAGTCAAAAGGATGCCTTTGACAGTCAAGAGATTGACGTTATTCGTGAGGACAAAACTCCTATTGATGGTTCGGGACAGTACATGGAAAACACCTTTAATGAGTTTGTTGTTGAAACTCAAGTGATCCTCAATACTCCTTTTAAAGCTATCGTGTTGGAGGACAGTGATGCTTTTGTTCCTATTGAAGCGGTTACTAAAAGCTATTGTAAAGAAGGATTGATTGTCGTGACTGATCATGCTTCCAAATGTGGGCTACAAGGAAAGTATGAGGTTACTAATCCCATTTTAACTAAAGGATGAGAAAGGTAAAACTCAAGATAATGAAGTTGAGTTGAGCATTGGCGATGGTTGAGGGTCAACCATGACTGAGCCAGAATTAAATATTAACAGGGGTCGAAATATTAGACTATTATTAAATAGTTGAAAGTCTTTGTATATATATTACCTTGTATTCACCCTAAACTAAAAAAAACTCAAAATTCAAAATACAACTTCTATTTTGTCTAATATTTAAAATTACAATGACTTAAATTATAATTAATCATTGTAATTTGACCAAAATTTGAAAACATAGCCTTATCATTATTTAGTTCTACCTCTACTTATTAAATATTTAATAAATTTTTATATTTTTTAAATTTAAATATTTATTTTTACATTAACTAAAATACTATTAAACTAAAATTATATCGAATATATAAATATTAACATGAATCGAGACCCTTGGGCCCTAAGGAGCTACGTCCCTGGGTTCAACCCCACTGGGATCAATGTTAATCCTTTGTTAGAACTGTTGTGGTATGAACAACGCTATGACAGTTCGTTTGTTGGGCCGTTTTATCGGTCACAAGCCAGCAAATGTTGTGTTTCTTAGTGAAACAAGAATAAAATAGAATAAAAGGATCTCCATTTGTAGTAAGCTTAATATGGATAAATGCTTTGTGGTTGATAAAGGCAATTTGTGTACTGGATTAATGCTCTTGTGGATGAGTGAAGTTAATAGTAAGATTTTTTCTTACTCTCGTTTTCATATTGTGCCATTAAGTTCATTTTTCTGGTGTGTATGCGAGTCACCATGCACAGTTGAAGCAGGAGATGTGGAACACTCTAATTTGCATACTGTCTCTTATCTTCCTTGGTTAATAGGGGGGAGATTTCAATGCTATTGTTAATAATTCAGAATAGGAAGGGGGTCGTAGGAAGGCTTAGGTGCAAATGGACATAACGGTTTGTTTGATTGTAATCTGTATAAAGGTTGGTTCACATAAAATTATGGTGGGATGACCAATCCAACTATTAGGGAAATGATTGATAGATATGTTGCCAATATTGGTTGATTTCTTATCCGAATTATTAACTTTTCACAGAATTTATTGAGAAAACGGATCATTGTTACTTGATCATGGACACGGCTTGGACAATGAACAAAATGGGCCATCTCGTGGTGATTATTTTCGGTTTGAGCAATATTGGGTGAATGAAGATGAGTTTAAGGCGAGGCTGTTTGATACGTGGAAGTCTTCTTCAGGCAATGCGTTAGAGAAAATTAGAGGGATTAGTTCAACTCTTGATGATTGGCAGCATGCTCGCTGGTCTTTTTCCCAGAAACGTATTAAGGATTTGCGTGACTATAGTGACAACTCTCTTCAACTTCAACTTTCAGAGAATGAATTGTAGGAGTCTATTAATAGGAAGATGGAGCTGAAGAGGTTGTTTGACAAAGAGGAAGTTTTTTGGCTTTAAAGATTTAGAGTCGTGTGACTTTCTCATGGTGACCGGAATACCTCTTATTTCCATGCTGGGGCAAGCAATGGGAGGAAGAAGAACCATATTCGTGGCCTTTTTTATTATCAAGTGCATTGAAGGGACGTGAATAGGACATCATGAATATTACTATTAATTACTTTTTGAAATTATTTTTCTTTTCTAATCCTTATCTTGATGAGTCTATTCTTAATGCCATTGTGCCTGTTATTACTGCTGACATGAATAACATTCTTTGTATGGATTTTACTACTGACGAGATTGTTGCAGCTTTCGAAGATATTAGTCCTAGGAAAGCTCCGATGATCTGACTGCTATCTTCTATCGTTTGCATTGGGATCTTATGGGAGAGGATGTCGTGGATTTGTGCCTTCAACTTTTAAGAGGTGATCTTGATATGGGACTGGTGAACAAGACTGTTATCGTTCTTATTCCCAAGGTGTTCAATCCTACTCATATGAAGCATCTCAGACCTATTAGTCTCTACAGTGTGGTCTACAAGATTGTTTCCAAAGTGCTTGCTCGTCATATGAAAGATCTCGTGAGAACCAACAGCTTTTCTCCCTGGTCGATAGATTTCTGATAACATCCTAGTGGCTCATGAAATTCTTCACTATATGAACTCATCAAAGAATGGTCCTAACAAGGGTGTTGCACTTATGCTGGACATGGAAAAGGCTTATGACTGGCTCGGATGGTCCTTTTTGCGGGCAGTTATATTGAGATTGAGTTTTTGTTCTGAATGGGTTTCTCTCATTATGCGATGTGGAGTCTGCTACCGTTATCTGTTCGTGTAAATGGGTGTTTAATGTGGGGAATCATGCTAGCAAGGGTTTAAGACAAGAAGATCCGTTGTCTCTTTCCCCCCCCCCCCCCTTTTTGCACACAGTGGCTCTCTGCCTTGCTTCATAGTTTGTAGAATCAAAGGAGGATTCAGGGTATCTGCGCGAGTCAGAATGTCCCCAAGGTCTCTCATCTTTGCTGATGACAACATTATTTTTATCAAGACCTTCATTCAGAAAATTGGGCAGATTAAAAATGTTTGCATTTGCATGAGCTTTCTTCTGTCGAGAAGGTAAATCTTGAGAAGTTTATTCTGGTTTAGTCCAATCACGATTCAGTCTCTCTGACTGTAGATCTTATTTATTCTCGGATTGGAGAGGTTGATGACCTTAGTCATTACCTTGTTATGCCTCTTCAAATTGGGAAGAACAAGACTATCACTTTTGGGTATCTTAAAGATACGGTGCACAATCATTTTGAAGGATTGACTAAACATCTTTCCTATGGTGGTTTGGAGGTTTTTCTCAAGGTCGTGGCCCAAGCCCTTCCTCAGTATGTAATGTCGTGTTATCTTCTTCCTGATGGTTTGGTTAATGACATGGTTGGTGCAATGGATCGTTATTGGTGGTTTAGTGACGTTTCTACGGGTGGTTGGTCGATTGTTACTTGAAAGACTGTAAACTTAAACAAGAGGGAGGGTTAGGTTTCCATGATCTTCACATCTTTAACATGACTTTTTTGGGTAAACAACTTTGGCTCTTTATTAAGGATCCTAACAGTTTAGCAGCTCGTGTCTATCGTGTGTAAGTACTTCTTAGACGGAGATATTTTGAATGTTACTCTTAAAGATAAGAGTTCCTTTGCTCGGAAGGGTTTTCATGGGGCACTGCAGACGCTGAATGATGGTCTATTTTTGGAGAGTTGATCATATTGGTAGTAATACGTGGCTTCACACGAATAAATGGAATGCCATTAACGGGGAGTTATATTGATTCTATTGATAATCCTATTCGTTGTAATGAATTTATGTTACCTAGCACTAGGAATGATTGTTTGATTCGTAGGGTGTTCACTGCTGAGGATACAACGAAGGTGCTCAATGTTGCTGTAGCTCCTTGTACTGAGGACGTTATTATTTGGGGTTATCATGACTCCGAGGTGTATTCTGTGCGCTCTAGATATTGGTGGTTGTAGCAAAGGTACCATGAGCATGACCGTTGATCCAAAGTTTGGAAGATCATTGCTAAGATCAAGATCCTCCTAGAAATCTGAATCTTTGCTTGGAGAGTTGCTCGGAATGCTCCGTCGGTTGGAAGTCGTCTCAAAGTGGTAGGACTGTCCAATGGCATTTGTCCGATGTGTTCACCCTCTAAACAATCTGTTATCCATATTGTTCGTAGTTGCCCGAGAACAAGAGGCCCTTCATCTTTTCGAGTTGCCTACTCGAGTCATCCTTAGATCCAGATGATCATTTGCTTCGGATAGAGGGATCCCTTGCCTCATTTTCCTTCCCCCGCTGAACACAAACCGCGGCTTGTCGACGAAGCTTCTCGGCCGCCTCTGATAGCCGCGAAAACCTCAATCTAGCATTGCTAGCTGAATCAAAAAAGACCCATTAGCTTCAATTTTCTTTGCATTCGTTCAGTACGAATGAAATTTAACTAAAAGCCAGCAACACCACAAATCAAAAGTCATCATCATCATGGTTTAAACTGAAATGGGTAATTTTGATTTAGGTGAAAAATGATTAAAACGAAACAGAGAGATGAGTGGGGGGTACCTTACCTTTAGCGCGGGTGGTCTCAGCTTCGGCATGGAGTTGGTCAAGCTGGTAACGAAGCTGCTCTGTGTTGATTTTGGGATTAGAAGATAAGCATTTGGGCCTTAGAAGAGGCCTAACCTCCCACTACCATAGCTGCACAATTCATTATCGCCTTGGATTCTTTTTCAGTTTTCACCCTAGCCTAGCCATAAGCTTTAAAACCATGTGTTAAAAAAGCCTAAATTCGATAGCATCCATCCTCCCTAACCTTTATTTACTATAATCAGCGTGTGAATTTGACCGAAAGTTGATTTTTTCCTAATCCGTATTTAATTTTTTTTGACGTTTCAGTCTGGTCTTACACTCCGTTTCGTCGTATTCTAACTTGAAAACCTTCTAATTGAACTTTGAACTACTAACATGCATATGTATTTAAATTTAACTCTTTTACTTAACTACATTTAAATTATGGAAAAGGACTAATTCATGCTTTTATTTATTAAAGGTACCCGCGATTCTTTCGACCCTTCTTCAACTCGACTCAATTCTTCCCGATCTGTTTGGTCGCACGAGTCCGTGATTACCCATATGATTTTGTAAACTCTCTTAATACTCAGATCAAAATATTACTTCAATAGTAACCTTGTTTTTTGTTATGGCTTAGGTTCAAGCACTGTTGTGACGAGACCAGTACTCAGTAGATCTTCAAGACTTGTCTTTTTTGCGATGTGTGTTCCTTGTGTGCTATATAATTGTTTTAAATACTTGTCTAAAAATCATGTGCACATGATTATTTTCATTTGATTTGAAATATGGTTGATTTATCTAATTTTATTTATGAATAATTTGTCTTATTATAATATGAATTCTTGATTTATCAGTTATAAACTATGTTGTACATGTTCTTTGATTACTGATTTTACTGTAAAATAAATATGTCTGATTTATATTTTCCTGATTATATTGGTACTATCTAAAAATGTTTTGTTGGGGTACTTTCTGGGATGTGATATGGAGTCTCTGTAAGCTCAGCTTCGATCAAGCTGGTAATTTCTTATGTACTTAAGGAAATCTTTGGATAGGCTCTTAGGCCCAATGGATATAGGATAAGACCTCATGGTTCCCAAGACACCCATCTAGGATGGTTCATCTACTTTATGCATAGGATAAGTCCTTATGAACATGAGGCATCCCCTTAGTTGTGCTCTTATGCTTCGACTAAAGTAATTCTTTATGCTACAAGCTACTCCCTTAGGATGTATGAACGTCATCAATAATTATAAATATTATGAACACATATTATCTTATAATTATCATAGACTAATGAAAATTATAATAAGTTATTTATTACACAAATATCACATGAGTTTCAAATAGTAATTCATTAATTACGCTTGATAAAAATACTCTTTAAATTTGCCCATTTGCCCATGTTTGACTTTTTTAATCTATTTTTTAACTGTGATATTTTATTATTTAAAATTAATTATCAATAGAAATATAAAAATATATTTTAGAAAACTTAAATTGGGTAATTTATAAATTTAATTGTTTAAAATATTTAAAATAGTTAAAATTTAAAAAAAATTAACTTTTTAAAATTAATAACATATATATTTAGCGAGATTAAGGGATTATAGTTTACTGAAAGTCGATGATAGCTTTCACGCATCACAAGGAGCTGCAAATGTACATTTTCACGATTCATTATGTGAGTGAGCGGCCCAACTCATGATTAGCTGCCTAACATTCAATCAAAATCATTTTCACATCATTCTTTAGCCATCCAATCGGCCACATTTTCTTATATAGCTTGATATCATTTATATCAGATCTTATGTTTGAGTTTTGATATATGTAAAATATATATGTTGAAGACTTATCAAAATGTGATGTAGACCTGAGTCGATTCAGCAGGACGAAATTTTAAAATTGAAGGGCAACAAAAAAAAATGAATATATGTAGATTCATTTTTTTATGGAAAATGATTATATCTGAGCTGAAAATAATATAAATTTGTATGAGTCTTGATTTTTTTAATAGAATATCTAAACTTTAAAAGTGATTGCATAATTAAATTAAATTGGATTTAGGGTTTTTTCCTTTTTCATTGTCCCACTATCTCAGTCTCATTAATCAGACAAAACAAACGAACTGGTTATTTGGCCTATAAATGAATGTGAGCATGGCATGAGGAAGAAGGTGTTCATTTCCACGCTCAAACGGAGGTGTCTGATTTAACGCAATATTCTTTGGTAAGACAGAAACACCAATCACGCCAAAAGCAAATATAAAAGTTTTTTTTAAGACAAAAGAAATGATTTTTTTTTCTAGAGATCTCATATTCGAACAATTGTATTTATAAAGCATGTGTGTATTATTAATATTAAAAAAGATTTTAAACATGTATTACTTCGTAATCACCTCATGCTATTAAAAATTTATTTTCACCTTACTTGGAATTTTAATAAACTTTAGGGGAAACTACTTCAAGTATTACTGAACTTTGTCCACTGACTCGTTTATGCCACTGAACTTTTAATTTTATCAATTTTAACATTAAACTTTAGTTTTATATTCAATTATATCACTTAGTTTTTAAGCTGGTAGCGGGATGATGGCGTGGCTAATGGTTGTTGGTGTGGCCTGCCACACAAAAAAATATCATTTTCGTTTTCATTTTGTAGCAATTGTTTTGATTCCTAAAACGACATCGTTTTAAATACTAAATCTTAGGGGTGAATCGATTTTGCCACTAAATTTTAAACAATCTTCTTTTTTAGTACATCATTTTTCGGCAGCAAAGCAATGTCATTCATCAGTCATATTTTACAGCAAAATCAGTACTAAAATGTTCGTATTCACTCCTATTTGTTCACTTATGATTGGTTTTTTTCACGAAACTCACTCAAATTCGACGAAAATCCTTTTAAAAGTTTGGCGTATTGATACTTTGATCTCTTTCGATAACCTTCCGATGAGACTTGTTTTGAGGTATGATATCATATTCTCAAAATAATATTTTTTATCGTTCATATTTTCTAACAAACACCCCAAATCCCATAAATCTAAGAACGCCTCCAAACATCAAAAAATAGTTAATTTTTTATAATTTCGTCGATTTTGAGTGGGTTTCGTGAAAAGCTAAACATATGAGAAGAATGAAGAGTGAAATGTGAACGTTTTGATACATATTTTATTACGAAAGACGACCGGTGATATGCAATGCTTAGTTTCCTGCAGCGTCGCAAAGTATAGTGTCAAAAAAGAAAACTATTTAAAAGTTTAGTGGTAAAATCGATACATCTCTAAAATTCAATGTCTAAAACGATGTCATTTTAGGCATCAGAACCATCATACCAAAACGAAAGCGTTTTGGTGTAGTATGCCATATCATGATCTCGTAATTAAATGTAAAAATAAAGTTTAGTATTCAGTGGTGTGAACGAACATATAACGAGTATCCAAATTCGAGAGTCCAAACTATGAAAAATCAACAATATAACATATAAGTGTCATCTTGATAAGTTATGACGGTGTAAAATAATCCTTAGATAAAGATAAGTACAAACAACAGCCATGTAACACCCTAAATTTTGGGCTAGTAGTTTCGGGTTTACCCGATAGGTAAATGGACCCCTCAAAATTTATAATTTAAGTCGTGTGGCTTAATTTAGTTGGAATTGAGCCCAACTGGTCATCAAAAGGAGATTTTTGAATTCATAAAGATGAAGAATGACCTATAGTGTGATTTTCCCATTTTAGAAAGATGAAGACTTTATATGTCTTTCATCTCTATCTTCTCTCCATTTCCTCATTTCTCATTTTCTCTCCAAGAACCATAACAAAAAGATAAGATCTTGAGTTCTTTTTATGCTTCAAATTTGTTTATAATTCCTCTAGAAACATCATTTTAACGTTTCAAAGCCTTGTGTTCCTTGGTTGTAAGAAAATTTGAGGGTTTTATCATCCAAGTCATGGTGGAAGATGATTGCTAGTTAAAGGAGCCTCATTTCAGGATTCAAACATGAAGGTAGTGTATTTACAATCCTTTGGAGTATTAAGCTTTCATAAATTTCAAAAATTTACTAAGATTTGGTAGTTGAGCATTTTAAGGTTCCACATTTGATTCATGCCATATATGATGAAATTGTTGTAAAACATGTGTTTTATGACACTTTAAGACCCTAAATAACTACCAACAACATTAGTACATGATATAGAATCAAACCATGGTCTTTAGAGTGATTTTAGGTGTTTTTCTGAGGCTAAAATAACTATTTCAAGGTTCGAGTATCGATACTAGATGAATCGAGGTAAAAATTAGGGATTTTAAGTTTCAATCTCGAGACTGAAAGTGTTGTTCTCAAGATCGAGCCTATTTTTCAGCAACAGAATGCATTTTTGTGCCGATACTCATAGAGATATCGATGCTTAGCCCTAAGGTATCGATACTACAAGTAGAGTATCGATACTACCCATCTTGGATGATCAAGTTCGGCCCGATTAAGGTCCATAAAAGCTAATGATGACCCATAAGGTTAGAACTTAGTCTGAAAAAGACGTAAATGGCCAAATGGGCCAAGCAACACTCACAAGAGTGCGTTACAACTAGAGTAACCTAGTAGGTGTAATATGCCCAAGTATCTTTAGTTGAGCTTGTAGTGAGTATCTATGGATGGAGAATCAGTGCATAGGGTGTACCGACAAGAGGTGTGACCAAATAATCAAATTATGAAACATCAGTGTCGTTTATCGCAAGAACGACCGAGAGTGTTGGACGTACAATTATTCTTTTAATTCGAGGGCGAATTGAGGTGATGCGTAGTAATAATGAATATAGTATCGCTACCTAGAAATGAACCAGAGTCAGATATTGGGCTAGTCAGTATCACAACCAGTAACCAATAAACATAGCAATCATCGTGAAGTCCCGAAAGCGTAGAGACTTCCCCATAGTATGAGAATGACTAAAATGCCCTTAAGTAGCGTATAACCATATCAGTACAAATTATCAGTAGTAACATATTAATAAATTCTCTCTCCACGTTCTAGATGAGAAAACGAGTGAGACAACAGTTAGGAGGAACATTAAATGAGAACATAAAAAGCCTATAATAACTAAAGGTATAAG